GTCTTTTCCAAAGAATTGAGCAGTTGGGACGCGTCGAAAGGTCACGAAGTTGCTCACAGAAGCGCACCCGTTGCTCACGTTTATCCTGAACACTAGGGTAAGGTGGGATGACGTGTAGCTCTGTGCTAACATGAGTGATTAGTAATGGTAGGGTCCTCGGTTCGATCCCGGCCCTCGCCCCGCATATTTTTCCGTTGAGGGAGATTTCAAGAATTCAGTGCTTGAAAGAATTTAACCCACAGACTTCTATACCTAGACTGCTAACTCCTCAAATTCTAGTGATTCCAATTCTAACACTACAAATGTAGCGCATGTGTCACGGAAAGGTCCCGATAATTGCACATGCGCGCGCGCACACACATGTGCGCCAGTATGTATGTAGAATCTGTGCATGCGTTCCAGTGGAACCTTTCACCACGCATACGCAATATTCTGGATCCAGCTTTTACATAAGCTTATCTAAGGAGTTAGCAGTCTAGGTATAGTCTGTGGTTTAAGGGCCTAGTGTTGGATTCAGTGTTTAATCAAGATTAAGAATTTCAGGAATTTTTAAAAATATTACGCTGATATTGCCTAACGGTTGAAAGGCGTTTCCACAAAAGGGTAAACTTAAAAAAAACTAGGGGACCAAATTCGGACCAGATACCAAATGCGGATCAACAATTTGACGAGTCGCTGACAAACGACACCTAAAAATGATTTACTTAAATTTTGCTCTTCCATACAATATATTTACAACTTTATGCTGTATCGTCGATATCATAGAAGGCGTCGACGTGTTTTTATGTCGCTTATAGCGACATAATCGTCAAATTGTTGATCCGCATTTGGCATCCAATCCGAATTTGGTCACCTTACCCTATCGTTTGGCTCGTTTCACCTATTCACATTGAAATTGAGCGACAGCGAAACTCCATAGTCATATGTTTATCACATTTTTAATTAATATTTATTGATTTTTTAAAATCACAAGTATTCCTCAATCGTTCGCGATAAGAAAGATTTTTGCTGATGAGGAGCGTGCTTCGAGCCGTCTGAAATCGTTTTTCGTGCACAAGCGTAACGATTGCGAAGGTTTCCGGTGAGACATGAAAACGGAACAAGATAAGAGTCTTGCCGACCGCGAGGACATTCCTGCAGACATTTCGCCAAGCAGCTTGGTAAAATGAACGCTTTAATCACTCCTCAATTATCCGTTCATGGATGAAATTTTAATTTACGACGCGATAAAGTTCCAAAGAGTCGTGCCCGCGCGTGCAAAATTCGTTCGCTTTATGCGCTCTCAATTTGAAAGTTTCAGTTTGACCGTTAAGCCGCTCGGAGGGAGACGACAGGGGCGAAGGGCAGAGGCCCCCGGATGGAAAAGGAGAAAGAGGTAGTGGAAGGAAGAGGTTGGAACTGCGGAGGAAAGTGTCGGGGGAACGGCGGCGGAGGGAGGGGGAGGACATCGTATTAAATCGGAAGATTGGAATTCTAATTAATACTCGCGGATTATCGATAAAGGGGCGAGGCGAAACGGGCACACGAGGGGGCGAGAGGAGGGGGGGGAGGGGGAGCGGAACGATGACTCGTTCCGTTCGTTTCATCCTTCGCGCGTCTTCGACACTCGCCTTAATGTCTTCTCCAACTCGTCCCGAGGTAGGACCACCGTCGGAATAGATTATATCGTAATGAAAATCTTGACGTTTGACGTTCTGCAATTGATGACTCCATTCTCCCATCGATTCATTGAATATCTGGAGTGCCGGTGCGTATTACGTGTCATGCGTGCTCGCTACAGATGCGATCGGCGTCAAGATGGATCCTTAAGCTGATTGATTATTTGCGGGAGCGTTGGAGGAGATATCAGAAATATGTTTCGTCTATTTGGAGCTACACATAATTGAGTCTCTTTTAAACGATCGATTTTATACCTATGTCTATTACGGATTCTTTTTTAACGCAAATGAAATCTTCACACTTACCACAGAGTGAAAATAGTGTCTTTTTTTTTATTTAGATATAAATCTGGATCGTCAATTGACCTATTACTTACGTGAGTCAAATATTCGATGTGTTAGAATAAGCTAGCAGCATTGGTACATAGAAACAGTCGAGGAGGAAAGCGCTGAGGGCATTGTGGTGTACAGATTTGCGGCATTACTGGGCATTACTAGGTTTTTTTTGGACATTAGGTTTTGCTGGGGCATTATAATGATAAAATAAGATAAAACAAAGATAAATAAGATAAAATGAGATATGATAAAGTAATGCCCACTGGGCATTAGTAGGCATTGGTCTACAAGATTTTGGTCAGCGGTTTCCCCCCTCGGAAACAGTTATTTTGCCGATGGAAATTTCATACTTTCGTAATTCTGTGCTCATTACAGTAAATAGTGTAAAGCTGACTTTACTGTAATAGACTTAGATGACTTACAATTCGTGTCAGAAATCAGAATAGAATTCTATTAAAAATTTGTAACGGGGGAGAGCATTTGAAGAATTAGAACACATCGTACAAAATATGTATATTAAAGTGCACATAAATCGAAATACATGGCATTCGAAGTGACAATACAATTCTGTTCTGGAACTTTTCGCGAACTATGAGATTCATTAAATAAAATTACAATGAGAGTCATAAAAAAATGATAATTCGCTTCTATGCATTTGTATCTTATGTTCTCATTTCGGTTACTTGTACTTTATATGTACAATTTTTGAACAAATTGTTTCTGTACAGTTTACTCCGTCTCCCACTAATATTAGACAGTGCGACGTCAAGCGCGTCGTGAATTTTCTTAGCGGATGGAGTCGCGTATCTTGCGACAGCTGCGACATAATTTTGTGAAACAACTACCGAATTGTTGGGACGTCTACCGTGCGTCGCGTATCCCAGAGAATCGCGCGCATGCATTTTTCGCGTTTTCCATTTTCACCTTGTATTTTATTTCACCGGTGAATAGTGTGAGCAAAGGTCGCGCTCTAGAAAACGTAAATTATTGCGACGAACTGTGTAAAATAAAACCGATCGAAAGCACTGATTGATAGCTCGACGAGGCGATTTTATTGAGATATAAAACGTGCGCGGTCGTAAAAAAAAATCTTGACAACTGCTTTAGCATTCGCTCGGTTATCATTGCCAATACACCGCAACTTTGCGGTGTACAACGCGTCTCATTGTATGCCGTTACACCATACGCAAGAAAGACGTCCTCTTTATTTCGCTACACTTCACCGTCGGGGAATTAAAACGCATCCCGTTACCTTTGTCGCCAAGTCCGCGCGAAAACCTGTCGGCGCCTCTCGCGAAATTTGAGCGGACGCGCGCGCGGAAGATGAACCGCTTCTTCGCGTCGGGCATAATTCCCACGTAATTCACTCACAGCCGCGGAGGGAATATTTACAAATGGGATTTAAATCCGGGAGAGACGACCGCGGTGGTAGCCGCGGAATATCGTTTGCCGGCAGCACCTAGCGGAGAGAGACGACAGCGGCGGCGGCGACGGAGGATAGATGGAGGCCGCTTAAAGTGTAAATAGGAGGCGATTCGTGCCAGACAAAGCGTTCCCGTTTCACGGGATCCTCCCCGCGCACCCACCACCCCGTCGCTCCTCTCTGTTCCGCCTCCGGTTCCTCCTCGCGGCCGTAACAGGGAAGGACAGAGGCCCTTTCACGGTTACTACGAGCCGAGAGTCGAATCGGGAAGCGACGCAAGTGGAATCCTGAAATATTAATGTGACACCAACCTTCGTCGTACGACCGATCCTTATCCTCGGTTCCCTCTACTTCCCGTTGTCCGCCTCTCTTCCTTTTCTTCTGGACCGTACGTCCTCTCTGAGACGTTTGACTTTGCCCCCATCTCCTCGCGTCCGCTTACCTTGTTGAATCATACACCGTTGCACCCGCTTGGGGCACGATTCGGGAGAACAGGGCGTATGTACACGCATGTTTTATGCGCAAAGGCGTCCTCTCGAGGATGTCAGTTCGCTTGATAAGAAAAGAGTCTTTAATGTAATATTGTCAACATTGACGACGCATAAAATATATTATTTTCAGCGTCTCTCATATTTCCTTACTCTGTTAAATTTGTAATATTACATTTAACTCAATGAGTCACTGCTCCTACTTTTTTAATTATCATGTGTAGTAAAATTATTAATGTGACACAAATTGTAATTAAAAAAACACCTTTTATTCAATCCATTTTATGATTTTTTACTCCATTGTTTAATTAAATGAATGACATATTGAGTGGAAGCAACGGCGACTCTCTCTACTCATCGAGTTTAATTTAACAGACACTTTTCAAGTTGCTTTCAAATCGCACACTATGCTGTGCAAAATGCGCGGGTCATATCTGCCGAGGGAGAACAGGTCTAATATATTTAATATGTTGCAATCTATACCAAAGAAATCGGTATTCATGTAGCAAGAGCAAAGCCCGTTTAAACATATTGCGATTGCGATAATGTATATCCGATTATATCGAAAAGCTATACGCGCGCGACGTAGTTATCCCATTTATTCGGATAACACGTCTGTCATTCGTTATTATTTGCAATATAATGGGAAAATCCCGTGCTTTTGTCAGCCTTCATGAATAAATAGCTCAATAATTAATCTAAATGCGTTCCATATTTCCAACGTGAATTGATCTTATGACGATTGCGTTGAAAAATTTACGGTAATTTATTAATTTATCGACTGATGGGAAAATTACAACGCATTTTATACAAATTTACTCAATCACACGCAAGTGATTTCTGACGCCGCGATGCAACAAGGTAAAATGTATTTATCACTCGGCATATTCGCGATTTTCGACGCAGCGATCCCCCAGGGACCCGATCATCTTAAAAACATACCGTTACGAAATTTTCTTTCGCGAATTTGCATCTCACGTTGCATTATTTATGTTCATATGTTTTACGCATAAAATAATGGACACGTCTGTGCGCACAAGCTTTCGCATATTCCAATTTTACGACAACTTATCATTTCAACGTTGCGTGTTACAGGAGGGCGAGAGGGGGTATTTGGAAGGACTCGCCTCAAGATACGCAGATCTCTTCAGGACGCATTACGGGGACGTTCTTGAGCCGCTCGAGGAGCTACGCCGGCGAGAAACGAACGCTCCCGCCCGAATGCCCAGCACGCAGCTCACCACCAGTCATTCACAGCCCATTTACGTGCCCGGAAAATACTCGGTAAGTAAATCCCTCATATTCGCTTTTATTTGCCCCCTTCCCGGGGCGTCGATTCTCTCCTTTTATTGCTTCCGCGGGCGGCATAATGCGGTTATAGGGTGACATATAGTAGCTTGTCTATCGCCGCGATTTCTTCTTATTACTCTACTCCCCTGACACTTGGCCAAATTGCTTTCGAAGGGACAGAACTCGCGAGAAGAACACGTCCAGTTGATTCAATACGAGCATTTGTCTCTCTTCCCGACGGCCGGGGACAATTTTGTCACGAAGAAAATTGTCTGACATGGGGCGATTGCGTATATACCGAGCAATCGATGAAAAACGTATTCATAAGGATAAAATTACGTTTTAACCATTTTCGCGACGAAATTTACGAGCCTAACAGTACTCGATTGGTAATAAGTAATTAGTAGAAGGTGATTATGCTCAATCCTCATATTGAAACAGGAAGACTATTATACGAATTATAAGTGGATACAATAAGTATTTTTTTTTAATATGCTGATTAATATCTCTTTAATTAGGGTCTCTATCTTTCATACACATTTGAATCGTTATGTTTAGCAAACGAGAGTCTTGGCGGGAAATCCTTCACTCAAGTTCAAACACTTTGCGTTTGCGGGTTCGTGGACTCCTCCGCGAGTAACTTCCTAAAGTGCTTTAAGGCGATTAACCATGTAGACCCTATCGATCCCAGCTTAAATCGGTTATTGTTCGTTACTCAGTCTTTCTCCCCGCGGCTAATCGAGTTTTCAAACGTGTGCAATCGATTGACTATTAAGGTCAGGCTGCCTCGAAGATCGACGATGTGTCGATTTCGAAAATTAATATAAAAGTCACTCGTTCCAGAGTATCGCGTTTTGATTAAACGCGAAAATGATTGCTCGATTCTTTCGCTTAATTTAGTCTATCGAGTCTCGTTTAATATTCCCTCCCTTTTCTCGATTTCAACGCATCTTTCATGCGATCAAACTTTTGTTTTCTTAATTAAATACCACATAACAATAATTTCGCAAATGTTTAAAATGGAAAAAGTTAACTTAGTTGTAAAAAATAAATACATAGCCAATTTTTAACTTGCATAATCGCAGTTTTACAAAAAAAAGGGAAGAAAAATATTTCTGGAGAATGCGTAAGAAGAAATTTTATTTCGATTTTGTTTTATAAAAAATTTGATCGAATTATCCTTCTTATCTCAAATTTCTTGCATCCTATTTTAACGGACAAGTCTTAAATTAAAAATTTTAATAATATAAAAGCCACGTAAACTTAAATGAAAAATAATAAGTTATTTCCTTAGAGTTTACATAAAAGTCTTATAATGCACAATAATGATTTACGGAAATTTGATAATAATTTAGTATTATTATTTGGAGAACATTTCGTGTAATTAGATCATTGGATTTGTCGTTTTTAAAAACACAATTGTACCGATGTTCACGTCCAACTACGCCATTTATTTTTTCAAACAAAATTCCACGTCACAGCAACACTACTTTTATGTAACGAGTTCTTAATACCATCTCTCCTGTCTCCTCCCATTTACAACGTAAGTGGTAGCCAGTACTGCTTCGCAAGCAAAACCTACCGCCCCGTATAGATAGAGGAAAAGAGCGAACGATCTCCATTTTTGCGCAGCCCTCGAGCTGCCTCAGCGACAAGGAGGAGGACGAAATCTATGGCTTCGGATACGGGGTCTTCAGCAGGCAGATGCTCCAACATCGACAGCAGAAGCTCGCACTCGCCACACAAAACACGACCACCGCCGTGACACCGGGTGGACCTCAGGCAACCTATCAAAGGTAAGAAGTCTGTCTAGTGTGTGTATGCGTTTTATTGTACATACATGTCAATGACTCGTTCGACTAAATATAGTCTGGCTCGAGTGCGCGGTAATACGCATCTTATGTTAAAACCTGTTCATTAACGTATAGAGTGTAGAGCGAAAACGAGCACAATTGCATAACAACTCGATATAAGTTAATCAAGGAACAAACTTTTCTTTTATTCTAAATTTTCTAAAAATATGGACGTAATATTTGATTTATCGTGTAATAATTCTGCTTTGTTTTAATGTCATGTACTTGTAACATTATTATATGTATATCAATTACTTGTTTTACACATATAAGTGAATTTCTAAATACTAAACGGTGTTTTCATTAAATTGTGAATAAACGAGAGATCTACGACCCTCTGAAAAAACTGCAATTGCTGCTACTTTATTCGAACGCTAGACTTGTTACGGTAAGAGAAATCCGGCGCGGCGCAATCGATCACTCGCTCAAATCGCGATCAGTAACGTCCGACGTCGAACATGCTCGTCGAATACAGCAAATCCGAGAAAGCTCGGAACAGGACGATTTTCACATTTAACTGAATTCAATCTGGATCAGATAACGCGCGCGCCCGCGCGCGTGTGTAGTGCGCGGGAATAATTAAATATTGATGTTAATGGTTTATCCAGTTGGTTCGATATTTTGGGCGTGCCGATTAATTAATCTACCTTGAAACGAAATGCAAAATGATTATCGCAAATGTATCCTCGACGCCGAATTTCCATGTTTATGAAGCGCTTGTACTTTTGCGGTGCGCTCAATATTCGTTTTGTACCGAAAAAAGATGACACGTACGAATATATCAGATTCAAAACGGTCGAAATCTAAAATTGGGCTGTCAACGCGAAATAAATTCGAGTCGTTTGTTGGATTCTGCACGTTTTCAATTTTAAATGTTCCAAAGTTAAATCCCCGAAACTTTTGTATCAGTGTACGATGATCTGAACTTTCGTCGGAGATCTGAGAAGAAAATATCAATTTTCCGTAGGTCAAAAATTCATTATGTTTCACGATATTTTGATTTTTATGCGTCTCTGCACCATACGAACGCCACTCGGCTTCCTGGACCATTCGTACAACACGCCACGCGCGCCATTCGCTGCCGCAGTCGCGCAGTCTGTTTATTATCCGTAATTGCCCATTGCTAACTGCTCTAACTGATCCGAAATACCATCTGCGTGCAGTCTCGTGCCGGCTGCTTGATATTTAATGGCTAATTAACCGGCGAACCGAGCCACTGAGCGCGCTTGGCCCGACATGCCCGTGCACTTGCTCAACGATGCCGTGCCGCATCGTTGCGAGGAGGAGAAACCGAAAGACGATGAGGGCGAAAAGGAGAGAAGGGCATCGGGACATAAGAGTGAGAGAGAGAGGGGGGGGGGAAGAGAGAACGCATATCGCATTATTAAATTCCATTATCGCGCCGTGGCCATCGACTGTTTTCGTGCACGCGCGAATAACCACGGCACCGAACTCATGAAATTGCTCTCTCCTCTCACTGCCGCGATAAGCACGCTCGTTTTTGCGAATGAGTACACCTCCACGGGTCATATCCGCGTACTCCGTACTATGACTCGGTTCCATAATGACACAGAGCGCGAACTAATTCCACTGAAGTCTCATGAGAAAACCGCAGGTTGCCGCAAATCAAGCGGATTATTGATATCTGTAAAGCTGCTAAAAATTATTTTTGAAATTACGTAAAAAAAAGGCAGATAGTTCTTTTCACGAGTTGCAGTTTGCACTAATTTTCCGAATGCTGATTAAGAAGAGAAAGTCTCTTGCACGTAAAGTCTTAAGAATTTCGTAAAGTTCGAATACTACGGATATTGACATGCGAGTTAATTATCGCCCAATCCACGGAGCAGCACTAATTTGCGGCGACCATAAAATTAATTGCTCGGAAATAACGATCGATTGAACGAAGCTTTTTGCGGATTTAATTGGTGTTCTGCCGCTGTAAATAACGGGAATCGGAAAATAGCATTCTTCAAGTAACGCTCGCGTCTATTGTTCTCTTTAAATTAAAAGGATCGAGGGGGGTGCGAGCATATAATAGTTTTCGTATAATAGAAAATACTGGAACCGGAGACAATCCAAGCTGTAGAGATAAATCGATCGACCGTGAACCGATTAGATCGCAAGTCGGTAAATATTAAGGCAACTTGACAAGCACTTAATATAATTATGTCTTTGCGTTATCGGCGTGCGAGCGATCGAATCACTGTATCCACTTTTACACATTCAGTTAATTGCTTTCCTTATCACGCGACATGTTACAACATAGTTATCTCAAGGTGGCCAATAGGACGGGGGTAACAAGAGTTGGACAACGATGATTATCGAAAGGACAAGCTTATCAGAGAGTATGCAGCGTTATGTCTTTATTGCGTATCATCGAGAACTTATTTGGTTACAAAAATTCCTCGAAGAACATTAGGCGGGAATTTTTAATGGGCTCGTAAATTTCATCGCAACACTCGGCAAGTTAGCGCAGTGAGTCCGAGTCTCCGTTACTCACATACGCAAAAATAATTACCGGCTTCATGGTAATTTATCGCGGTGCTATAAAGCATGTACTGCGTGGTATCGTAACAAGACGGGCCGCAGGAACATTGAAAAACCGCCGAGGTACGCGTCTCCTTTCACGCTTGATGTTTCAACCAACGACTTTCACGTGATAGCGTAGAAAATTTCTAATAGCCTCACCGCGATAATGATATTCCTGCCGGAATGGCGAATCGCACAATCTACGAATGAACTTTACCGCGTTTAGGCTGCGTTAACAAAAAAAACAAAATTATTTTCTCCACGTCATGAATTTCTGCAAAATATTAAAAACTGTCGGAGTGAGGGTCAGGAGGAGAAAATTAGCAAGAAACGGGCAGAATATGAAAGCAGTCATCAATGTCTATTTCAAACTTACAGTAAATTCCACAGATAGTGATAGGTCGCATCAACAGACTTAAATGTTAAATAAAAATCTTAAATGAAAAGTTCTAAAATCTAGAATAAAACGATATCGTCTTTTGTCGAATATCGCGGTGCCAGCTTCGTGCGTTGTAAGATGGAAGAAAAATTTACTCTAAACGCAAGAAAATATTATACATATAAAGTTACTCTTGTCTCAATATAGTAAGTCAATCTTTTTTAATTGAATAGAGGAGAATAAGAATTATTATATTAATAAAGTTTAAGTATGGCTCAAATGTGATAAACACAAATTTGAAGGAATAAAGGACTAAGAGCCGTGACAGGGTGTTGGTGTCCAAAGAATTATTGATTTTATTTTGACATTGTCTTATTTGTTTTTACTAAATGAGGTTGTGAGAAATATAAATGCGTCAAGAATATTTTTTGTCTCGGTAACGGAAATCCTTTCTGAAAGTGTACTACTGAAAATCGCAATGGTACACTTACAACTGTGAATGAGTGATTATTCACTGTTTTCAGTGATAATCCACTGATTGACATTTAGAGAGTAGCGCGAGGCGAAATCTATCGATCGTGTGCAATTAATCCCGGCCAAGACGCGCAATCTAATTGGGGATTTTACATACGTAATCGCCTATATTGAAAAAGAAATAAACGTCGAGATAAAATATAATCCGAGAGAGACTCCGAGGCAGGGAAATGCTCCGCAGCCGCTCTTGTCCGTGCGAGAGAACCCGTCGTGCCTGCTGTCGAAACGCGCGTCGAAGCGGCTAGACGATGATCGCGGAATTCATTAGCAACGCGTAGATGGATATCGCGTCCGATTGACGAATGGATCGCTTGCATTAATTATACGCGGTTGCGCACATGGCCGACGAGCCGCCGGGCTGTTTGTCACACGGTCGATGATGCGTTTAACGATCACTCGCCGCGATGACGCAACCGACCGGTCCGACTGGCCGGTCACGTCTTTTCACCACGGGTATTTGCCCGCGCGGATGCAACGTCATTATCATAATGCAGTAGACTAGTCCGTTTCTTTTTCGGACGCGCGCGTCTTATTTCGCTTCCCGTGGGATTTATCTGCCAATTGGTGCGCATGAACCGTACGTCGTGACAGATATATTAAATCCTTGTTACTCGGATCTTCCGCTCGCACGTTTATTGAAATCTCTTTCGCGAGGCTGCTGCGTTTCTGAAGAAATTGGCTAATTACAGTCGAAAATGGGAAGAGTAGTCGACTGAGATTGGTCAATTTCTTAAGGCCTGTATCCACATTGCTAGAACTCGATCCAAGTTCTATAGTTCCAAGAAATGTGTAGCCAATTAACTTGCAGCTATTACATAAAAGATTTAAGGCTTAGCGCCTAAATCATCTATTGTAGACTGACACTAATGTATCAACACGCCTTTCAATTTTTCTTTTACATCCCTTTTGCATCATCGACGATGGCCGTTGTGGCCGTTGCAATTTTCGTCATCTTCATCGGGCCGAATCGTCATCGCTGTATCACTTTAACGATAAGAGCCTCAAAATAATTTATGATGGAATTAATCGTGCGACCGCTTGACGATAGGCCTCGGCGGCTCGACTACGCGCGCGCACGGACGCCGGAGCATTCGCGTTATAAACAATCGCATGGGCCGTGGTCATAAATTAATAAACGAACAATAACGCGGCGAAGTAAAGCCTGACTGACGTGCTGACAGCTACGGCCGATGGTCGGTTTTGTCGTGTCGACGGCCAGGTAATCCTATCGACTCGTCGGCGCGCACGTCGCGTCGCGTCGCGTCGCATCGCGTTGCATCGCGTCGCGCCGCCAGAATGCGCGCGCTCGATTATCCGCGCCGCAGAAACTCTCGACCTCGCGCCCGTTATCCCTGCGTGTAATCGCAGTTTTAGTCCTTTGCCATATTTCGGCGCGCTCGCATCCGGCCGCCCTGCCGATTGTGTCGGGCCGCGTTCCGGCCGATCGATTCCCCCTTTCCCGCAGGACAAAACAGATTTTTCGATTTCCGCGCGCCGCTCCGCCCGGATGAAACTCCCGGGGATCGCCGTCTCGTTGTCTCTCGCACGTATGACCATCGCGCAGATGTATTTACACGGCGCGCCGAACGCAGAGCGATTCCGAATGCACCGGATTTCGAATTGCACGCTTAGCCTGATTGTACGAACGATGCTTCGTTATCTTCGTTGCGAGGCCGTTTATTATCGATATGTCGAGTGGACGATCATTAGAAGAAGTATTTCTATTATTATTAATATTGTCGCTGCTACGATTGTTAACATTGACAATTGCACGGCTGACACAGTCAAATATAGTTTTTGCGCTTGTACCTCTTTTTATTAACTCAGGTTAGCTAATCAGTTAGCCCGTTCTACACCTAGGGATGATCCTACTTGTGACTCATCCGAGTGGAAAAGTTTACACTACATCTTATGTAGAAATGGCACCCGAGTCCATAAACATAAATATGCAGTCCACAATCCGGTCTGGTATTATTTTGTACATAAATACCAATAATAAGATTTACAAACGCAAGAACTGTATGCGACTCTGACGGTAGCGATTATAATTACTATTTTTCTAATGTTTTTATGTAAGAATTGATGAATACTAGGCGATAAAACTATATAATAATTTTTTGAAAACTTGTTAAAAATTTTATATAATTTTGTTGCTACTATTTTATATAAAAGCTTTTATTGAAATACTACAAAATAAATTAAATATTACATAACATGTAATTATAATGTACATATAAGTTGCAGCAGCAAGATTACCGAAATTTTTTATTCTAGTAAAATAAATAGACTATTGTTTAACGCGTTAATTCTTTTGACGGCTCAAAAATATTTTAATAACATATTTTAATATCAAAATTAAAACCATGTTTGTAATTTCACGTCGCCGTACGCTGGAAATCTCGTTTCAGTCAAAATTGTGAAGCGCGCCGAATCAACGCCGCCCGACTGTAAAGCGCCGACTAGATTTCGTTGAATTTAGATATTTATTACTTTTCGTGCGTGAAAGAAATGCGATTGTTAAAAGTGTAATCCAATATCGTAATGCTAAACGTGAGTTTTGCGGTAACGTGCATTTTATATGAAACGCGGGATTATTTTTGTCAGACAAAAACAACGGACTTTGTTGAAATTTCAACGAGAAACGTGCGCTTGTGAATAACGACGGAAACTGCTATTCTCTCGTAAATTCATTCATTATTACAAATGTATCGCGCGTGATTATACTGGAATCACGTTAATGCAGCAAACCGGATACGTGCCGTTTCTATGCCCTTCTCGCCACCTGCGCGCTACGTATTCGGCGTCAACCGCAAGCGTGTCTTCATCCACACAAAAAAAAAATACTGAATCTAGTTTGCAATTTAGCTAATTGCCATGTTTCACGCCGCGTAAAATAAAGTTTTCCGTGTATCTTTTTTTCCGAGCGTGAAATTATACAACATGCACTTTCGCAGTGGATGCAAGAGCCACGAGTTTTTCATTCGAAACTCCTTCATCTTAAATAGTTTACGAGAAGAAAGATGAGACTAACTGTGAGTCATTATGGAAGTAAGGATAAAAAGCATCTCTTTAAATACATTATAATACTAGCTTAGTAAATCTTTTGAATTACTCGCCTATTGATTTTCTTTCGTCATTAAACATTAATTCGAGCGCCAAGGGAAGTCTTAATAAAGAATATTATAACGACACGAAAAGAAATGTAAGACGCACAACAAGTCCGATAAGACTTCCGGAGCATTTCAGGGAAAATGTTATATGTAAGTGAATATAAAGTCCATCTCTCTCTCCGGAAGAAGCCGCGCGCGAGAAGCGAGAAATAACACGAAAGATGCAACGGCCGAGAATGCTCGCGCTGGCTTCGTCGGAAGAATTTGCATATCCGAGTGTTCTCGAGCTCGACACCGAACAGGTCAGAAGAGCGAGTGGAGCTCCCTACAATTTTCAATCGCGCGCACGAAACATCCACGATATAGGCCGCCTTGCATATTTTACATCGGCTTCCACGTTTACTCTCATTCCCGCGGCTTCATCAGGATTCTCCGCGCGGGCGGCGGAAACGTTTTACCATCCATTTGTGTCGTTCAACTGCGGAAGTACGGCGTCCCTCCGACGCCCGTCCCCCCGCCGTGGTAATCATGACTCTTAACAGCCCTAAATCGATTGCTACTTGGCACATAGCGACGTTCGCCGCCACCTAAGAAAGAAGCCAATCGCTCCTTCTAAGCTTTAACGGGAGCGGCAGGCCAATACAGCCGAACGCTCGAATCGGCGTGACAAATCGGCGTTGATCGATTTTGCGACTCTGGAGTAAATAGCTCTCGGGTTTCAATAAGGTGTAACTTAATAACTTTCCGAAGATTTAATCGCGCGAGAGACGAAAAATACGGGTTGCCTCCTCCGTAAGAACAAAGTTCGCCAAACTGCCGGCAAGAATTTCTTCGTCTCTCGTGAAATGGACGTCACGAATAACAGCCTGTCGCGCGTATCCTCCGAGTGTGGTGTCGATCTTTGAGAGGATGTTCTTCGTTTGTACCGTGTTGTCGGCCGGAATCTATTTCGAATCCATTGAGGAGAAGGGGCTACTCGAGGCAATCGATTCCGGACGATGGACCACGTAGGTGGAGACAGAGGATGAGGCCGCGCCGCGCCGCGCCGGCGAGAAGGCCAGGAGTGGCCCGACCGGAATTGCAACGCGGTTTACCCGCTGAGAGATGTTAGCTTTTCGTCAAAGGGTCCTATTAGTATGCGGTTAGTATTACGGCGCGTTGTATCGGGATACATTGAGGCAAGATACGACGCGCTATTACCGATTCTCTGGCACGTGAACTACCGACCTCTTCGTCCTCTCGCTCCGTCCCTCGGGCTATCCTCCCCGCGTCGCGTCGCACGCGAGTACGTGTGCCCGTGCCCTTCGCGACACTTCTCGACTTCCTGGCGTTCGGGTCGCTTTGTGCGGGACGCTTCGATAGAAACGGGAACGTTGGATCGGCCAATAAGACGATTAGTGCGCGCTCGACCCTTAACATTGAAACGCCGGAAATCGCCCGGCGCGCGCACATTCCAGCGTGATCTACCGTAAGAGATCGACTGCGTCTACCGGCTCGGGCGGATACTTGGGATACTTCGGCAAATACCGCCATTTACGACGACACGGTGTGCTTCACGTGTCCCGAGACACGTACATCGGAATTTAGGCATGCCCTTCCGTACGGTTAAATGGAAAACGATCGTCCATGTCATTACGTCGGTTATATTTCAATTGCTCATTTGTATGTACATTCAGAACTTGGGGAAAAATCATGGTGACTCTGATTTCATTCGCGTACATTAGAAACGAAGAAACAATCGTTATGCCTTTTCTTAATATTTATTCAGAATCGCGATCTTGCAAATCAATTAATACTGTTATCTCGTAAATTAGATTAAATGTATTTTGATGCTTTTTTCTTTATCCCTTTCTCTCTCTCTCTCTCTCTCTCTCTCTCTCTCTCTCTCTCTCTCTCTCTCTCTCTCTCTCTCTCTCTCTGCTTGTTTCTTTTCACACGACATGAAACATGAACGCATGCATAGTTCCGGAAGTGAGAAAACGTAATCGGAAAAATTAACCATCGGAAACGCTATTTAATTGGTTTATCCGATGGAAATTTTTCTCAGTGTTTGAATTACGGGATGAATATATCGGCACTAAGCACTAAATACTGTCGAATAATTATCTTAATTTTTTTCTCCCCTCCTCCCCTTCTCTCTGTTCCGCGGAAGATAATCTCGTAGGAATATATTTCTCGAGTAATTTGCATCATGCTATTTTACGCATTACGCAAATGACTGCGTTAAACTCGAGCGAGAAGCCAAATCGCGCCGCTGTAATACGTATTAAATTTGAAATAATACGCACTAACTAAATTGATATTAACTCCGTAAACACTGATAAATTTATTATCGACGTGTAATAGTATCGAAATGCGCGCGGACCGATCCATTTCGCGTATCAAAGGAAGTATTAAATCCCGACGAGCAATCACTCTATTACGCTTAACATCGATACCCGTCACTTCGATGCGACCCCGTATTGACCGTGTTTGTCCGGTAACCGGCGGCGCGCCGCGGCGAAATATCGCCGCGGGTGAAAACGAATGGGAAACGGAGCGGAAAAGCGCGTAGACGCCCGGGCGGTTTGCCAAGCGGCGCCGTTCCTTTAATTGTTAGCATATTTTAACCGTAATTTTCCTCTGTTCCAGTTGTCTGAGCCCGAGATCTGCGTTCTTCTACGAGTTCCCTCCTAACGGTAAGTCGCGCCTAGACTTCGCAGCTTCATTTGTCTCTGCTTAAGATTTAAGAGGCGCGGAGGAGAAAACCCGGGCCTCCGCCGCTTCGTCGCGCCGTCCTTTCATTTGCGAAGCGGAAACTGGAACTCGTACACGAGTTTACAAGTGCCGGCCATCTGGCTACTAATGCGCTGTTATTAACGTAACGCTGTGTTTTTATTCGGCAATTAATCCAGATATCAAGTGTCACAGATACGCTTCATATCGCCATTAACGCGAATAGGTCGTTTGAACTAAATAACTCCATCGATCGTGAATTACCCTACTAACCGTAATTTGCCTGCGCGCTTTAATCGCAGAATAGTAAAGCAAGACGCTGAATAGTAAAGCGTTGCAATTAAGGACATAGATAATAAGCGTGTGTATTTTAAGTATCGTTACTGCAGCGCCATCATCATTAGGATCGGGAAAAATACGGCTTTTTCTGCCTAGCTCATTTTTCCATGTCACGCGTTATTAAGAATATACTTTGCGCGAAAATGTCGCGTCTTCGTGCCTGGTTTAATTCCGATAACATTAATATTGCGCCCGCAGTATCAGAAAACCTCAATTATCTCGTATATTATCTTTATGGCTTCGACTTTCCATGACAGTGCAACATAAATTACGGTTAACAGAGGACCATTTTGAACACGGAGTCCTCAATTACGCTCTTTCCCTTGATTTATTTGATATACTCGCGGCGGGGAAATCATTTTGCGAGAACGCCGTAATTCCGTAAGGCGTAATGGATTGAGAAAACTATACCGTGGTACGAGGCTTGCGAAAGGAGCCAGGCTATATCAGATTTGAACGCGGGAGCTTATTTAATGCTTTGATCGCATGCTTCGCACGATTCCCGCGGCGAGTGCATGCATACGATTCCCGTGATTTCCAAAGGGCCGAGGCGTCGCCTCTACCCGCGTCGCGTTCACGCACGTCTCTACCAATGAAACATATCTAAATGGTCTGACAATGGAGCGATCGCGAACGAACATCGCCTGCCTTCCTCAGTGTTACGGTACGCGGTGAATGCCGCGTTGTTACACTGAGAAAAATGTCCGATCAAATATAATCGGACAATCCACTTACATAATAACAAACGGATGTGTCCGATGAAAAATGTGATCGGTTTTCGAATTAAGTTCCATCGGATAAATTTCATCGAATGTATTCATAATTTTATCGGAAAACGTAATCGGAAAAATTAACCATCGGAAACGCTACTCAATTGGTTTAACCGATGAAAATTTTTCTCAGTCTAGGCATATGCGAGATGGAATCTCGCGACACGCGCCTTCACTTGACCTTTGGTAGCCGCTCGTCGCTGCTTTTTCACGCGGCTAATGTCGCGTTGTCCTGCGTCTCATTTGTGGTATAAAATACAATATCGATCGAGGAGCATGCAGCTGTAATCCCGCATTCAGACCGGGAGAAGTCCGCCGATGGCTTAACTTGCGGTTGTCCGTAGCTTCTTAAGCTCCTTAACTTCGTCAAGAATGATAATGTTATTATTCGCGAATCCACTTACAGTAGCGAAAACTTAACAGATTATTTTCGTGCAAATTTGTAAAAAGTAACAGGAATACTCTATTAAACTTGAACGCAACTTGAACTTGATGCGTAAGGGCAAAAATAATATAGAGGATCTTTAGTTCTCGTGATATTATATACCTATCTGTTCTGTTTAAAGCCCATTACCGTCGCTATTCGCTGAGAAACTTGGGAGAAACAAGTCTCGGGACATTTGTCTTGAAATTATTTGTTACATTGTTTTTATTATTACGATTCGATCGAGGAATTTAGACGAAGTTTGTCTTAAATCACTGCCCTTTATTTTTGCATGCCGATAATTGATTTTCAAAAGAAGCCCACGTGCGTATATTTAATATGTTAGAAAGAATTGTTAGAATGACGTCAATAGTACTGAAAACGCGTCGCATAATAATAAGTAGTAATCAATATTAAGTTTTCACGTGCTTCGATTATACGCCACAGGAAACAAGGAAATTACATAACGATGAAATCTCTTAAGAGATAAAAGAAACAGGAAAGACGAATTAGAAAATGGAAAAAGTTAAATACATTTGAAATATTTTTGGAGGAAGTGAATTCGAGAGAAGAATAAGTCAAAGTATATAAAAAATGATTTGAAGGGTACGTTTCTGGTGCAAAAGTAAATGTAATTAATGATTAAACGAACTTACCTAAGTGAAGTTCAATCATGATTGTATGAGCGCCTCTTCCGAAGAGATCATAGTTGTAGTTGTAGTACCCCCGCTTCCCCAGTGTCGCCACAAGTTTCAAAGCTAAAGCGAGAAAATCTCCTATACTCTCGCTCTCGCGCGCCCTCGCGCCGCCATCTTCATTCTTCAAAGCTGAGCCGTAACTGTATTTATTGGGTGTCTCTGTTGAGATAGACGGGAGGGAGGGACTGATCTCTTCGGAAGAGGCGCTCATACAATCATGATTGAACTTCACTTAGGTAAGTTCGTTTAATCATTAATTGTATTTCGCGCCTCTTCCTCGAGATCATAGTTGTAGTTGTTTAAAGTTAGTTACGGCGTATATCTCTTATAAAAAACTTTTTTTTTTTTCTGATTCTGCAAATTGCACGTTTTCCGAGAGTAACTCTCAATCGTAGAACCGCGCGAAGTTTTCGGAGTCTTTTGACCAACCAGCTGTGTTCCTTATGAAATCTATACTAACTCCCTGACGTTTTTCGGCTGAAGTTGCCGCATGTCGCGTGCTGTAGGCTTTACAAACCTCGACATCTATGCCGCTATGAGATAACCCAGATTTTAGCCATCGGCTGAGTGTTTGCGTAGACACCGCCTTAATAGCCTTAAAAGGCTTCTTAAGCGATACGAATCTTACCATAGATTCGCGTAAGTTTCGGGTTCTTTTTAGGTACGAAAGTAGAGTCGTAGCCACACAAATGTATCTGTCCTGAGTGAAAAATGGTAGTCGCCGCGCTGGCTGTTTTTTTTTTTTTTTTTGCAACGGTTTTCGTTCACTTGACGAATATTTCTTATGTCAATCAAGAACAGAGTCTGCATGCGGTGCCCTGTAACTAGGGCCAACAAAGCACCTTGGGGTCCCAAGTCGAGTCATATCTGGGAGTCGTTGGCTTCACTCTTGATACCCCTCGAAAAAGTCGCTGAATTATGTCGTCTTTCCCTATCTCCGGGCCCGGAACTAATGCTATCGCTGCCCTGTAGACGCTTAATGAACTGTAGGACGCTCGTTTTTTTTTTTTTTTTTTTTAAACCTAATGCGTCCGTCGACGTTCCTGAGAAGGGGTTGATTTTGTTAATATTGCAGAAATTTCACTATGTTCTTAATCCACCGTCGTATTGACGATATGACGATTCTGATAGGGATGCGAATACAACGTTTACTGATTCCAGCGGCACTGCTCTCTTGATGAAGGCCTCCCGGATAACCTCGCGGCAACCAGCGTAAGCTGGTGCCACAACGGGTGCCTCCCCGCTGGAAGAACGAATCAAATTAATATTTGGTCTGAAAATGATGGATTTAACCTCAATCAACAATAAGAGCAACGGGAACTATGGCTGAGCTTCCCAATACGGAACGATAACTACGCCACTCAAACCTTCGCGCTCGATCTTTTGTAAAACTCTCAGGATAACCGAAAAAGGAGGGAACGCGT